GTGTGTGTTATATACATGTGTGTGTGTGTGTGTGTGTAGGTATGTATGTATATCTCCTACACCCTTTCTAGACATTATCTCTGATGTATCTTTACATATGCCTTTCCATGGTACGCCACAATCTTTTGACTGTGAGATATCTTCTAGCCAAATTCATGAAAGCAAGAGAAATACTGGCTACGTGAATATATATTACAACACATTTTAAGAATTTTAGTGCATTTGAAGGAACTGTCAATGTTTAAATGCTGCTGTTTGAAAGAACAGAAACAATATTTGCCCACAGCAAATATTTGATCTTACCCAAAGATGTTATTCCAAACATTCGATAGAAATCCCATTCTTTGGCATATCTAATTAAATCATCAGGCTCAGTACTTTGACTTGAATCCTGTAACTGCAGCCACCTGAGATAAGCCTCGCAAAGCAAACAAAATATGCAAAGCTTTCCATGAATCTGCGGCAGGAAGGAATATTAATGTCAAATGCAAATACTATACAATCAAAATATTGATAAGCATGGTCGTCTTATTACATTTTACTAATACAATTAAGAAATCCTATATAGGCCATTTGATCTCATCCACTGAAGAACAGTGGTAACCAAGCTATGGGACATGCTTTGAAGTCTTGAATGACTTCATACATTAGAAGTGAATCTGATACAGAATTCAGCTCAGACTGCGATCTAGTCCAGACTTCAACTTAATTCATGGATTTGTACTAGATCCAAAATTTACATATACAGTCTATATTTCAATTTTATATAGTCCATATAAATCTACATTAAAGCCTATATTTTAGGGCATAAATATGATAGTATTAAACATCATATTGTGAAGTATTAATACATATTAGCAATCAGACAGAAAATGGAAGCAAGCACTAAGTTAACTTCCAACTAACTATGGTATAATTGATGAGGCAGCCCAGGCAGATAAAAAGAATTGAAAGAGTAGAAGCAACAATAATAGATGACAGAAGAGTGGCTGATAGTTGTAGGTTAAAGGATCATTCAAGGCAGAAATCAGGAAGTTCCAGTCAAAACAATTTGCACACTAAATGACAGCATTGAACTGCAATTTATAGACAAGACTTTCAGAAAACATAGATGTTATGAATTCTCTTTGCATATAATATAGTTATCGAAAGTCATGCTGTTTTATAGTGGCTATAGTTGTCCAGTACATCTCCAAAGTGTGCTTTATTTTGACCAATTCCTCGATTAGGATACAACTACAAACTTTTAAACTTGTAATATTTAAATCCAATATTGCAATTTTTAGAATAGGAAGCCACTAAAGTCAATATTTCTAGGTCCAAAACAAGTTAGTTTTTTCATTAGCTTGGAGCAAGATTGACAGATCATATGGCAAATTAAGACAAGAAGAAGAAACAACAGAAACATACATTTATTTTTGTATTGAACAAGATATGTCTGTACACTTGTGCTTTGCATAAGATAGCATTAATTAAGATGATGACAGGATCATATTCTATATATTTGTCCACTGGCTTCTGGCAGGATTTCTAAAGGTAACAAAACAAAAGCAAAGTAATATTTGCAGTAATACAATAGAAAAGAAACACTTATTAAAAGAATTAAGAATTTTTAAAGTTCTATTATGAATTAAGGGTTATATAGGATATTATCTTGTTTTATACTGTAATTTTCACAAAATAGCATTTATGTCACAACCACAAAAGAAGGTAATATTTTCATTTTTTACTTAGTATTGTTTAGCAAGCGTAAAGAGAAATGATTTGATGAAATAATCAAAACAATTTAAACAGAGGCAAGTAATAGTCACTTTTTTAGCGCAATATAAACCTATTTAAATAAAAGATTGTGATTAGGGGGAAAAAGAACATAAAAGGAAAAAAATGAAAAAGGCGAGGATATTTCAATGTTTTTTCTTACATGCACATTTTTTCTCTTTTGCTTTTTTTAAAAATATTTTTATTATTTTTAACCACTATGTTAAATTTCAATTTTGAATTCTCACTCCAATCCTCACTCCTGTGTATAGTCAATGCACAATATTAGTAATAATATTTTTTAAAGATAAATAACATAGATGTATGCATTCTATTCCCCCTCCATTTTTTACTTTGTTTTTCCTGATGCTTTACATTCAATTGATGAAAATCAAAATTATATTTTAAAAAATTAGCCCGAGTACAGATTTAAATACTTCAGACACATAACAAATACAAAAAGTTAAGATTGATAATATGCATTCATTTGTGAAGAACTTTTAATTTGTTTTCTGGTTCCATTATACACTATCAAAATACATATATGCATTTGAAACCTAGACAAAGCAAAATGTATGGTTTGTTTACAAGATAATCTATGGGATCATAAAAACATGATCTGCTCTTTCAACACAGGAAGTACAAATGCATTCCAGACATATACCAGTCATAGATCATGGGGGGCTGGAACGAGGAGGGTTGCATGCTGCAACAGTAGAAGAGACAACTTTAACACTGAGGATTATTAGGAAATGCACAGCAAATCTGGTTTTGCCATGGTATGTCTATTGCACAATTACATATTGTTGACTGTTCCTGATATTTATCTTTAAAATAATACAGAACTGAAAAATATAAGGATTTTTAAAAAAAGGACAAATCACCTTTTGGTGGTTGAGGGCTACATTTTAATATTTAGGGGAATGTTAAGGCATGCAGAGATCAGGGAGATTATGCAAAATGGATATAGCTAAGCAGCAAAGGTAACATGCTTGTAGTTTTAGAATGTTGTTATATTTGCTGGAACTATATCATTGCATATTTGTTTTATTAGGTTTGAAATAATAAACCTGCTACAGAAGGTTGATATTGGAAAGATACAACTGTAGTTAAAACCTCTTATATTCATTTTCCCTATTGCAGAGCTGTGGTATCCACAGCTATTAGATATATTACTGTCTGTTGATTATTGTGGAAACTAGAACTGGGTTTTTTTTGGGGGGGGGGGCTTTTCTGTTTCATGAGGGGAGTGCATCTTACTTAAATGGTATTTTGATTTCACCCAAAAACCTATTTCAAAAAATAAAGGAGGCTGAAGGATACTGGCTGTGCTGCATTGAACTATATAGTCAGAGGGAGAAAATAGCACAAGTAGGAAAGAACAACCCTGTGCCAGGGAATCTCCAATACTCTTGCTCAATTATGGGCCTTTCATTCCCTTGAATTTCTATTCCATGTGACATGGTCCATGACAGGCTTCCTCACTCTTTTGGGGCCTCTGGGCACATTTGGATTTCTAAGAACATGTCACACTCTCTCCTCATGACACCTAATTTTCAGTCTAATTTGCCTCTTCCGTTTTTATGTACTCTATTTTCTCTTTAACAGTTTTGTGCCCAAAAATGAAAATAATACTTGAGCTAAATCAAACCAATGCTAGAGTGGAATAATAGTTTCTGAGATCTGGAAACTACTCTTCTGTCAATTTGCTTATGTTATATTTGCCCGTTTATTATGTTGACTGCTGACTCATGTTCTAGTTGTAATCAATTCCAGGATAAGTTTCATATATGCTACCCTGTTTCCCTGAAAATAAGACCTCCCCAGATAATAAGACCAATCAGGCTTTTGAACGCATGTGTTAAAATAAGCCCTCCCTTGAAAATAAGCCCTCCATGAAAATATTGGAACACAGCAGCAACCATGAGGTGACCATGCTTGCCGCTTCCTGCACCTCAAAAATAATAAGACCTTCCCGAAAATAAGGCCAAGTGCTTATTTTGGGGCTCAAAAAAAATAAGTGGGGAAACACAGTATTACTAGTTCACATATACATCAATGTTTAAGTTTTGAGAATCATTTTGAATTTTCGATGTTACTGATGCTGCAATGTTATGATCTCAAACCTGATCTGTTCTCCAGCTACAACTCCTAAACAGAAACCAATCAAACAACTAAATCAAAAACATTATACTGATTCACTTATTTATTGAGATAAATGATCCAAAACTTGTGTGTGCTGAACTTTGGCTTTCGTAGTTGATGTGCCCTTCTTTGGCAGCAATAACTACATCAAAATATTTCCAATAACTGTTGATCAATCCTGCACATCAGCTTGGAAAAGGCTTAGCCCATTTCTATTTACAGCTACAAGAGATATTGCTGGGATTCCTCATATGAAATTCCACTTCAGGTGCTTCCACATTTCTTTAGGGTCAAGGATTAAGACCATTCGAAAACATGAAGTTTCTTCTGCTTTAACCATATTTGTTGTACAGCTTGTATGTTTTAGGTCAATGTGTTGCTGCAAGACCCACATTCTCTTCAGCTTCAGTTCATTGACATATTTTCCTGTAGAATTTGCTGATATAATTAAAAAGCTGTCCTAGTCCAAGTACCACTGCACCCTCATGCTTCAGATAGGATCCTGGAATATAGTGTTTGTCTTTTACCAAACATTATACTTTTCATTCAAACCAAAAAGTTCTATCTTGGTCTCATCTTTCCACAGAATATTAGCCTCTTGGCTTGTCCACATAGTCTTTCACAACATGTAGATGGGCTGCAGCAAAGGTGACTTGCTGCTGGTTTGGCCTGGATCGGGTGAACCGGTAGTAGCAGTGGCGGGAAGCTTCTACCACCCGCCCGCATCCACGAGCAAACTGGTAGTAAAAATAATAAAAACCCACCATTGGGCAACAACATTCTTTTTGGAGAGTAGTGGCTTTCTCCTTGCAAGTCTGCCATGGGCACCATTGTTATTCAGTGTTTTCCAGTTGGTTGTGCATGAACATTGACAACGGCCAATGCAAGAGAGCCTTTACTTTAAATATTATCCTGATGGGTTTTTTAAAGAGTTCCTGGAGTATTATGTGACTTGCTTTTCGTGTGATCTTGGTTGGTCAACCAAGCCTAGAAAGGGTAAACATGAGGTTTAATTGCCTCCATTTGTACATGATCTGCCTGACTGATGGAATCTAAACACTTTGAGAATAAATCTGTAATCTTTTCCTGCCTGCTGAGCATCAACAACTGCTTTTCAAAAGTTCTCAGAAATCTCATTTTGTTCAAGGACACACTATCACATAAAGACAGTTATAAAGATTAGATTTTGATAGCAAATATTCAGAATTCGGTTATTTAAATAAGGCACAACTTGCCACACTCAATGAATAAATAAACAAATATGTTTTCAACTCTTTTATTTAATTGAATTCTCTTCATCTAATTCTAGGAATTGTGTGGAGTACAGATGTATTAGAACATACAGCATTTGTGCAGAAATATTGGAAATTCAAAAGGATTCACAAACTTTTAAGCACTACTGTATTGTTACGAAGCAGGTTTCCTCCATCATATCTGTTCATTCAATTTTACTGAAACACATATTTGCATTTAAATTCAATTAAACACTAAAGACAGCTATAAAAAAGTTTTTAAAAATATCTGTAGTCATAAAAAGCCATCTAAATTTGAAGTCACTAAATAATGCTGGAGTAGATTGGAGAAGAAATAAAGTGATTAAATGGAGAAAACCAGATTGGAGTTTGATGAGCATGACAGCAATACTGGAGAGATGAAACATGGAAATGTTTAATGAAATAGTGTGTGAAACCTATTGAGGAACATATTTGTTTAACAATATGTTAAATGATATTCAGTTTTTCAAAAGAAGAAATCCACACAGCACATATGGAAAACAATAACTCATATCCATCTTAGGCTCAATGCACTTTCTACCATTACAGTTTCACATCCCATAATACATCTTACCAATACATAACAGGTCATCTAGGTTAAACAAGGGAGTGTTGAATATCCCTTTACATGTTTTCAGAGTTTAAACACTAGTCTTAATTTAGGATGAGGAATTATCTGAACAAACATCTTGCAAGTTTAGGATTGGATCTCTATAAGCCAAGGTTTCCCAAACTGTGAGATGTACCTTTTTTGGGGTAGTGCAGAGTCCAGGAGAGGTATGCAGAATCTTTTAGTTACATTGTTAAAATAATTCTAACTTTTGTACAATTGCATTGGATTATTGTCATTGTTTGTTTGTGTTCATTTTGATATTTGGATTTTTAGGGGACATGTGTAGTGTACATTAAGATTACATTAAAAAGAGGTGCGTCTGCAAAAAAATTGGAACCCCTGTTTAATGGCTTTCAAATATCTTCAGGCTGTAAAGGACTCCATGTTGAGGAGAAATAAAACTTCATTATGAATAAAAATATAATTAGCACTAAATCTAAAGGGAAAACTTCAGAATTCAGAGTGATTCCGTCAAGGATTACGCTAGCAATTTGAAGATCCTCTTGGATCCGGGGATCGATACTGAATAACTTACAACAGGGGTCTCCAACCTTGGCAATTTTAAGCCAGGCGGACTTCAACTCCCAGAATTCCCCAGCCAGCAAAGCTAGCTGAGGAATTCTGGGAGTTGAAGTCCTCCAGGCTTAAAGTTGCCAAGAGACCCCTGAACTATAATAATATCAATGCAAAGTGGATCTATCAATTCGAAATTCCTACTTCTTCACATAACTCACGCAGATAGAGATCCGCAACACACCACGTTGATAATCCTTGTACAGCTCAGTCGCTTTTGTACTGCATTCAATACACCGATAACACGCGAACTCCTCCATTTTCCCAGACGAAAACAAACCCAGAAAAAAAAAACCCTTGCGGAGGGCGCTTGATTTCGCTCGCTTCCGGATTCCTCCCGCAGAGCCGAAAACCCTGCGGAGCATCTCGGTATTCGTAGTTTTGCTCTCGGTACGCGGTGCAGTAGAATTCCGGACACAGAACTACAATTCCCAGAAAGCAACTCGCCCGCCCGCTAGTTGCCGGGACTCCGAGGGAGGGAAACGCGAAAAAGGTAGGTTAATCTGCGCAGGCGTGGTTGAAAGATGGCACCTGCTTGCGGCAGTCGGGGTTGGTGGCCGAACGTTACAGCGGCGCTGAAGCTCTTTTGGGCGCTGGTGGCGGTTATCCGGCCGTTGCTGGTTCTGGCTGAACAGTACCCCTCCTTGTCTCTGCGCCACCAGCAAGGGAGCAGTTGCTGCCCGGGGTTTTGGGAGGCTGATTGGGATGGGGAGCAGGAATACGCGGCAATTGCGGGAGACGGTGGTGAGTAACGAGGAGAAAGAAGGAGCCGGAGGGACCGGGCAGTTTCTGGTGGGAGAATCCTAGGATGGCCTGGGCCGGTTTCGACTGCAAGAATGGCGAGTCCATAGCGGAGTGCATCGTTTAACCCAAAGATTCAGCAGTCAAGAAATGACTCCATCAATGTTTTTCAAATATGGTAATTTTAAGGTGTGTGCACTTCAACTCCCAGAATTCTCTTGCTGTCTGGGAGCAATCCTGGAAGTTGACGTCTACACCTCTTAAAATTGCCAAGTTTGAAAAACTGGACTGCTGCATGATGTCCGAAGAGGAGCTGGAATCCAACAGGAGCTTGGGGATAGCTGAACAGTTCTTCATTTCAGCCCCTAGTTCTTCTAGGGCAGGGGTCAGCAACCCGGCTCTGGAGCCGTATGTGGCCCTTTCATCCCTCTACTGTGGCTCCCTGTCACCAGTCAGCACCACAATTTTGAGAGGAGCTTCTGGTTTGAGGGTGGGTAAATAGGGCGTGCCAGGAGGAAACTATGGCAAGGGGCAGGTTTTCCAGTCAGCTCCTCAATTGGTAGGGCTTTCGGTTAGGGCAGGTAGAGGAAAAAGGACACTGCGCTAGGAGCAGATTCTAGGGTGGGGAAACCGGACTTCTGGTTGGCTCCAGAATTGAAGGGGGGGAGGGGGCTTCCGGTTAGGACCTTTGTAGCTTTCAGTGTTTAAGATTGTCAACCCCTGTTCTAGGGGCTGAAATGCCATCTTCTCCGGTAAAAGAATGGCACCTTTGTAAGGATGAGATAAGGGATGCAGTGACTCAGTGGCTAAGACGCTGAGCTTGTTGATCAGAAATGTCAGCAGTTTGGCAATTTGAATCCCTAGCGCCGCGTAATGGAGTGAGCTCTCGTTACTTGCCCCAGCTTCTGCCAACCTAGCAGTTCAAAAGCATGTAAGAAATGCAAGTAGAAAAATAGAAACCACCTTTGATGGGAAGGTAACAGGGTTCCATGCCCCTTCGCCGTTTAGTCGTGCCGCCCACATGATCACGGAGATGTCTTTGGACAGCTCTGGCTCTTCGGCTTTGAAATGGAGATGAGCACCACCCTCTAGAGTTGGGAACGCCTAGTACATATGTGCAAGGGGAACCTTTACCTACACCTTAAGGATGAGATGGCCAGTTGCAGAACATTGGAAGATAAATGGGGGTTGCACCTGTGACAGTAACCTTAGGCAAGACAGTTAATGGATTTTGCTTGTGTGGCAGGGGTTTTAGTAGGCATGATGAAGACAGGATGGTTAGTTAAATTTGTTTTGACTTTCGCCCTTCCTTGGATTTGGGAGAGTAAAGAGAGAAGATTGGCTGTTGAATCTATAAGAAATCAGTAATACCTTTTTTGAAGGAAGTAGTGATAGTAACTTCAAAAAAGATGATTAGGTTGCTATGATGAAACCTTAACTGAATTGGGAAGATTAAAAACAATTGTAGGCTGGATGCTAACACCACATTTTGTAGTGCTATACTTGAACTGATCATTTCAAGACTGTTTTTTTCCCCCCTTGGCTTCAGGCCTGGCTTGGCAGATATCACCTTAAATGCCCTCTCTTGATAAAGTGAGATTGGGAATACAGTTCTGTTAGTTGTTTGGGATCCCTCAATATATTTTCATTTCAGTGATGACCACCTTTCTGGATCAATTCAAAATACTATGTTTGATCCAAAACTGCTTAATAGCTCTTATTAGGTTATTTGAAGGAAAATTATTATTTTTGTTTGTTTGTTTATTTACCAGGTTCCTACGATTCTTCCCTAGAGCTTTCTCTAGCTAAATTAAACCAGTGAGATAAGAGAAATTCTGAAGCGGTTGAGAAAGAAACGGGGGGAATTCTAGATATAACATTCAACAAATGGAAGAAGAACTTGTTAGTAGCTTATTTCATAAATGGCAGCTCAGTCTAGATTGCAAAAGACTAAGGAGAAGGGATGCAATATATTTAAAGAGACTACGCCTCAATGAATTCATTAATAGGAGAGGGCTGGAGATTGATTCTTCCTACTTGCTTGTGTCCTTTAGTATGGAACTAGATTGGTGGTAGTGGCATATTATTCTTTTATGAATGATAATAGAAGAACCAGAAATAAGCTTTTTAAAAAATGTATACCATTTTGCATGAATATGATCAGAAGAAAAATGTATTCTGTTAGGTGTGATGAATGAATGAGGGAGAACAGGAAAATATGATCAGGCCATTCTGTGACCCTAGAATAAGTGACCCATTCTGTGACCCTCCCCTTTGGGTTGTGAGCCGCCCTGAGTCCCCCCAGGGAAAAGGGCGGCATATAAATAAACTTCTACAATCTACAATCTACAATCTGCAAAATAATGAATGAGAATCACTTATTTGTTCTGGATACTGTATGTGATTTAAGTATATGTTTATTCATAAACGTACATGGTAGAAGACTGGATAAAAAGTTAAAGCATAATTTATTATGATGAAAAAGATACCATATTTTTGGACTATAAGACACACTTCCCCCGCTGCATCCAAAAGTGGGTGGAAATGTCTGTGTGTCTTATAAAGCAAAGGTCTCCCTAATCCTCCGTATGTCCTGTTTTTGGCCTCCCCAACGTCCAGAAGCACTCTGCCTCCGGAGGCCTCCGCGGGTCCCATTTTTGCCCTCCCCAGAAGCACCTTGCAGGCCAAAAATGGGCATCAATAGCACGTGCTGAGGCAAAAAACTATTTTCCCTCCTTGTTTTCCTCTTCTAAACCTAGGTACATCTTATGGTCCAATGCATCTTATATGGTCCGAAAAATATGGTAATTTATGAGTGACACAGTGCTAGGTTCTGAATGTGGAAGAGAGCATTTTTTATAGTGTCAAGAGTGAATTTTTGGAAGAAAAGGAAAATAATGAAAAAAAACAAGAATAAAAGTGGAACAACTGCAGGAAAAGAAAGTGGGGTCTTTATGAAAAAGTATTACTAGATTACTCTTCCCAAAAGACTGAAATGAACTTAAAGAGAATGTGGAAGTTGAAGCAGCAAACAGAATTATGGTTATGGGCAGCTGCAGAAGTGTGTGGAATTTTAATGTAATTGAATATATGAAAAACAATAATTGGAAGTATAAAGTGGAGACAGCTATGAAAGGAAAACATTCATGTAAGATTAAAAAAGGTAAAGGTTTCCCCTACTCAGTCACGTTCCTAGCTGAGGGAGTCAGTGTTATGTGAAGATGCTTCTGTGGTCATGTAGTTAGTATGACTACATATACACAAATGCTGTTACCTTCCCACCAAATTGATATCTATTTATATGCATTTGGATGCTTTTGAACTACAAGGTTGGCAGAAGCTGGGACAAGAATGGGAACTCACCCTGTTGCACAGTGTTTGGATATGGAACTTCTGGTTGACAGACCAGTGTCTTAACCACTAGGCCACCATGGCCCCTCATATAAGATTAGATTGCTACAAAAATTAGGATGAAAAAAATATTTTGAATAATGTATATGAAAGAGTTGCAAAGAACGTGGCCAATTATAATTAAAAGAAACTGAGAAAATCCATATCATGATGGAACTAAAGTATTTTGAAGTATGTTAAGACTAAGTAAGGAATGAATAAAATAAAAAATAAAAATGAGGAATGATTTGGAATACAAGTGAATTGAATGAAATGAATATTTTAAAGATCTGTGTGAGGGTGATAGTAAGTTAGTTCTTTCATGGAGCCAATCTACTGTGATAAACTTGCAAGTGTCTAAATAGCACTTTATTTAACTTGCCCTTAATGTTGTAAGGTGAATGTAGCAATTAACTGTTACAACATTTCCATTTTAGACTCATCAATTTTGCACTTTCATGATTCAGACTGTGAACTACAAGGGTCTTCATCTTGTGAACCTCTGCTTTCTTGCACAACAGAAAAACTTTTGGTAAGTTTATTCATTGTGTTCAGGATAAAGAATTCTGAAAACAATTTGCAGTATAACTTCTGTGGAATTGTTCCATACCTTTTGCTTGAAGTTGTTAATTTAATGCATAAAACTTTTTTCCCCCAGAGCCAAGCAAAAATACTTGCCAAAGGGAAAAAAATTCCATTTCCTACAGATGATGAATACACAAATGAAGAATTAGGTAAGAGGCAGTATGAGTATTTTCTAAATTAGTTTCAATTGTAAGTGAACTGAGCAACAAGGGACTAGGAACACACCCCGTAGATCAGGGGTCACCAACCTTTCAGAGCTCAGGGACCACTAAATTTATAATTTTAAATCCCGCAGACCACTAATATGATCTGCCTAATGACCAGCTGGGTGGGCATGGCAAAGTGGTCATGTGACTGTGTGTGTGTGGCCAACTCAATGTCACTCACATTGAGGGGCCTCCTCGCCTGCCCGCCCGGGTTGCTTAGGGCCCAACAGGAAGTAGTTGCTAGAGCTAAGCAGCCACCACAAAAAATAGTTGACAAAACAGCTGGCTCAGTTCAAATTGGATCTGACTGAGAAGGAGGCTCAGCAGAAGCACCTGCTGAGGAGGGAGGCTTTCCAAGCAGAAGGAAGACCTGCAGGAGTGCAAGGCCAGGTGCCAATGCCTGGAGCCACACCGGGTTGAAATGGTCAGCCAGTTCCAGGCCATGATGCAGTCCCACTGGAACAAGACCCAGCGGCACTTCCCTACAGCCTTCGCCCAAAGCCCTGCCCCAAGTCAGAATTTCTGCAGGTCAGGGGGGGGGGGCAGAATTTTTGCCCCCCCCCCCTCGACCTGCACAAAAAGACCCTGAAGGGGAAAACTCTCTGCAGCAAGCGTTTATTGCACATATTCAGCCCAGGGGCCGTAGTTTGAGGACCCCTGATTTAGTGCAAATAATTTTTCTGTGGACCACCAAAAAATTTTCACGGACCACCAGTTGATGACCGCTGCCATAGATCACTATGACTAAAGGTATGATTTATTTGTTAAAGAGTAGCATCAGCTAAAGCTAGTAGTGAAGTTCTCTCTGTCCATTTCTAGATGTGTTCATTGGACAAAAGTTTAGTATGAAATACTGATTTCAAACTTATTTTGTCTGTTTGGCTAAAACAACAGATTTTTTTTTTCCCTTAGTCAATGATTTTTTATTTCAAATGTTTTATTCATTTTCATTTTCAATTTTGTACATTCACTTATATACTGAATATTTGCAATAATAATAATATAA